GCCCCTAGCTACCCTTCAGATCTGGAATTGAACCCACTCCTGTGGCTTCCAGCCAAACAAAAGACAGGTATATGAGCTATATGAGCTGAACATTTACCTGAGGTAGATACACTCCTTGGAAAGAACAATCATGGGAGAACAGAAGGGCAGTATATGCACAGGGAGACAGCTCACGGGGCAGGAGTGCATGGAGGGATGGACACAGGGAAGAGTCAACTATGGGGAGGAAGTGGGAGGAGAGCTGTTGCATTGTGGGAAATTGTAGTCAATGTCATGAGACAGGGTATGTGAGCTGCTGTATGGAAAGTGAATTTGCTCTGAAAACTTTCACCCAAATCACAATTAAAAATTAAAAAAGGAAAGAAAAGAAAGCAAGCTGACTGTGCTTAAGGCAGTGACAGGGCCAGGCAGCCTCTGACTGAAGATGACAGTGATGTGCTACAGCAAATGCTGAAACAAGGCCATTCCCTGAAGCCCACCTTAAGAAGTGCTCTTGCTGCTCCTTCAGGTACTCGTCGAGGTAATTCCACTCGTTCCAGTGGAGCCGGCTCAGCTGACGGAGGTTGTCCTTTCGCTTCTTCATGCTGCTCAGGGCCTGGACGATGATGTCAGCATACGTCAGGGTCGACTCGGTGGTCTTCAGCGTCAAGGAAAACCCCACACTCTCTGACGGTGTCGACCCTTGGCGTTAGTGGAATGTGCTCAGTGGGTGAGGAGAGGGAAGAGAGGGCGAGGGGAGTGGGGGAAATGAGCCGTGTTTCCAGATGATGATGGAAATCTGAGGGGGAATGACACCTTCTGCTCTTTGACCCCAGCCTGCTTGGGAAAGGAAGAGGCTCTCCTCTGTGGCTCACCCCTTCCCCATCTTTATTAAAGCCCTTCTCTCCTTGTGGTGATGGAAGGGCTATTGTCATGTGCCACTAAGTCGATTCTGACTCACAGCAACCCACGTCCCAGAGCAGAGCTGCCCCATGGGGTTTCCTGGGCTGCAGCCTGTACACGGGCAGCTCACCAGGGCTTTCTCCCACGGCGCAGCTGGGTGCGTTGGAACCACCAACCTTTCTGTTAGCAACCAAACGCTTAACGGATTGTGCCACCTTGGCTCCCTAGTGGAAGGGCTAGAAAACACTTTTTTAGGTAAGTCACCTGTATTTCTCTGTGAATAAGAAGGAGATTCAACCTTCCTTTCAGGCCCACAGCCTCTTTCCCCATCTCACGATTATATGCCTGTTTTGGTTCCCTAGTGCCGCTCTGACAAGAATATACCACAA